TCCGAACCCGACCCGAGTTTGCAAACGGGTCGAAAACCTTAACCCGAACCAGACCGATTCGGGTTCGGGTCAACACGAACCCAAAATTTTCGGGTCGGGTTCGAGTCGGATTTTCGGGTCGTGTCCAATATTGACACCCCTACTTGCAATGATATTGATGCCAAATCTTTAACTCTAATGTTCAAAACATACTTCAGACTTGCAGTTGAGCCCTCTTGTGCTTGATGCACTTTCATGTAATTGTTTCTTACACTTTTTTTTAGTGTTCAGCTACAATTATCATGTGGCAATTCTGCTGAATTTAAATAAATTTTTTTTGGGTGTGGGAATACATAACACCAAGATCCAAACGGTACACGCCTATTCAAAACTAATGTACTTAGATAAGCATATACAAACAACATTTAGCCACAAAATACTTCTTTTTCTATTATTCAGAAATGCAACAAAAAATGCAACCACTTCTGTTGCTTAGTAACACATCCAAAATAAATTTTCATTAAAATACAATGCTGTATAATTGATTCGACAAGCAGTTTCTTCAGCTTTTTCAAGCATATTATGACAAGCAGCAAGGTGAGATCATATCATATATTGCTAGTTACACCAAGGTACTTAGTATAGCGCGCCTGTGCAAATAGCTTCCCATTCTTTTTTTTCCGTAGGTCTATGTTAGCTACCCCGATAGCTTTTCCAATTCTTAGAACCTTAGCTTCTATCTCAATTTCCTCCTGAGAAAATCATTAATTGAATTATACAACAATTTATAGTAGAGACTAAGTTCATATAACTGGTGCAGAATAAAATGAACAGACAAAAGATGAGAAAAAGTTACAGAACTACGTATAAATTGAACATATAAAATTTTAGGAAGGTCAATTGTAAAGTTTCCCATACTTTAAAACGAACAAAGCATACAAAATTTGAGCTTTGAATTCGGGCAAAGCATACAAAATTCATCTATGATAAATACTGTCGAGGGACTTCTCAGCCAGTTTACAAGATACATTTACCAGAAAATAGGTAATTAGTAGAAGAGTGCAGCATGAACAAATAATCTTTATACAGTTATAACTCACCCTTAAATTCATTGGCTCGTGAAAAATACTAGAGAAAAGATGAGCATTTCCTTGTGATGTTCAACTTGGGAAGACAAAAGTTCAGGTTGCAGATGGTGCAGAAGCACCATGTGGTCAAAACATTGCAATGAGCCATTAATAACAGCACTATTTTTTACAAGTTATTATGTAATTATCATTTTCAATGAACTTTCCATAAGAAGAAGTTGTAATGGCAATTAGAAGTATCGGGCAGGTTAAACAGCCACAAGGTGATCAGTTTGCCCGGAGCCTATGGTGCTAGGCACAAAACAAATTAACTAGTTTAAAAAATAATAATATTTACCAAACATGTTTTAACTAAAATTAAAATATATATATATATACAAAAAAAATACAAAAAAATGGTGTCGAATGGGAAATGGACCCTATTTCAATTTATAGCATGCATAATTT